ATGATACAGCAATTTTAACAGTACATTCAAAGGCAACAACAGTAACCGAAACATTACAAAATTACATAAAAAATTGCGTTCAAAATTGGTGTAACTCTTGGAGAATAATAGTAAATGAAAACAAATCAATACATACGACATTCACACTTCGAAAAGATACCTGTCCTTCTATTAGATTAAACGAGAAAAATATTCCGCAAAGCAATTAAGTAAAATATCTAGGTATTCACCTAGACCGAAGATTACATGGAAAGAACATATATTCACTAAACGTAAACAGTTGAGTTTAAAATGGAGAAAAATGTACTGGCTCGTCGGAACAAAATCGGAGCTTTCAATTGAAAACAACCTGTTGCTGTATAAAGCTGTACTTAAACCAGTCTAGACTGGTATTCGACTATGGGGTAGTGCTTCTAACTTGAATATCAAAATCCTCGAAAGATTTTAAAATGATTTACAGATACCTGCAATCAAATAAGAAATTAAAAAATTTTACGCAAATTATATAATTCCAGACTACATAACCACCCAAATAAAGTTGTCAATAAACTTCTTAAGACATCCATTGCTATACCAGATTGAAAAAACATAAATTAATAAATACGCAAATAAATTAACATAATTATTTCAATAATACTGTAAAACAAAGACAGTATGCTTACTAGAGTATACTGCTGTTTATTATATAGATATATATCTAATATCAAAAAAATTTGCTTATTGTCACTATACTGAAACAAATTGTAAATAGACATGGATTAATAAAAAAAAGAAAAAATTTTTCATCAACATTATTCGATTACTTGCACTATCCAGTTTGACATACGGTATGCTGAATACGTCGTCGACCGGCTTTATTTGCTTCTGGATTTTCTGCAAGTTCTTTCGAGCTTCTGAATTTTTTTGCAAGCTTCTTTGAATGTCTCTGTTTTTTAAAAGCATAACAGAAAAATCTCTATATATCTGTATGTAATTTATTTTTGAAAAACCACACTTTATCAGAACAATTTTTTACGTATGATTTATTACTTTTGGCATTGCTTAAAAAAATTACTTAAAAACAAATCTAAATACTCAAATATCACTTGACTTGTAATATTTTAGTTGCTTGGAAGAAGAGGACATTTATATTTATTTGATTAAGATTCAAGTTCTAATTATCTAATTTTTACGATTCAAGTTTTGTAAAAATTATTTTTCAATAAGCTTTGCAACAGAAATAATAAACATTTAGATATTTAAAATACGAGGTCTGTCCGGAAAGTATCGGGCCTACGTTTATATCTTCGCGCCATAGTGTTCGAGCGACCTCTACCGGACAGAAACGTCAATAGTAAAGCCTCACGAATCTATTGGTTACTTACTGATACCTGCCGGACGTATAGTTCATACATAGTGTCTCTTTGTTTACAGTGCCTTTTTCGCGTTCGTCGGATTTTGATATTGTCAAAAATGACTGAAAAACAAGATCAACAAATTTGCATCAAATTTTGCTTTCAACTCAGAAAAACGAGTTCGGAAACTATTGAAATGATGCAAAAGGCCTTCAGAAGCGAGTGTATGAGCAAAACACGAATAAAAGAGTGGTATAAAAGGTTCAAAGATGGTCGCACTTTTGTCGATAGTGATTCTCGTTCCGGCCGACCTTCGACGACAAAAACCGCAGATAATATTGAGCGGGTGCAACTTGCAATCAAACAAGATCGTCGTATGACTGTGCGAGAACTAGAAGAAGACCTTGGGATACCAAAAACTATCATTTCAAAAATTTTAACCGAAAATTTACGAATGAAAGGCGTGTGTGCGAAATTCATCCCAAAATTACTCACAGCAGAACAGAAGAACATTCACTTAGAAATCGCTCTGGACAATCTGGAAATGGTCAATAATGATGATAATGTGCTTAGAAAAGTTATTACAGGTGATGAATCATGGGTTTATGCTTTTGATCCTGAAACAAAACAACAATCTTCACAGTGGAAGCATTCTGAATCACCAAGACCAAAAAAAGCACGTCAAAGTCGGAATATCATATTAAGTCAATGCTGATTGTTTTTTTCGATTGTAAAGGTGTTGTACATCACGAATATGCACCAACAGGTCAGATAATCTATAAAGAATACTACGTTCAAATTTTGAAACGTTTACGTGATGAAGTAAGAAGAAAACGGCCGCACTTTTGGGAAAGTAGTGACTGGCTTCTCCATCACGATAATGCGCCAGCGCATTCATCCAATCTTGTGCAGAAGTTTTTGAGCAAACACAATATCGCATTGCTTTGACAACCTCTATATAGTCCCGATATAGCCCCATGTGACTTTCTGCTGTTTCCAAAACTAAAAAAACCACTCATAGGACACCGATTCGATGACAAAACAACGGTTGAAAACAATGCGACGAGTGTATTTAAGGCTATCCCTAAAAGTGAGTTCCAGGACTGTTTTGAAAAGTGGAAAGATCGATGGAACCGTGTTATTCAAACAAGTGGGGATTACTTTGAAGGATGCCACCCACCAGATGATAAAGAATAACGCTAGCACGAAAATATAAAGGTAGGCCCGATACTTTCCGGACAGACCTCGTATTAACAATGATTGTTGAATAAAAAAAATGTACGTATGATGATAAAAATGGGGTAGCCGATTGGCTTCCTGAGCTCTCGTCGTGAAAGATCAGGGGTAAATTCGGAACATTTCTACCTGTTTAGCACATCAGGTGTTAGAATTATTGATCAGGCTAAATCAAGGTGTATAGATTCGTACGCCGAATACGCTATTTTCCTATAACAAACGCTTGTTAGTCAAAAATAGTGGCGCCATGCCGTGACTGTTTAACAGAACTACGTACTCTGTTACACAGCCCCTCAGCTGAGCTTCCATAAAACCTGGCCTTCAATTAGCGTCTATTTTCATTAATATTAATATCCCTTTCTGTTACTGGTCGTATTCTGGATAAAAATTGAGATGAACAGCGGCGTTTGTAAAAAAAACTTGTGCATGGCTGATAAAGTAACCAGTTAATTGCAAACTCGATATATACAGGGTGTCTCAGACCACCCGTCCACCCCCCAAAGTATGCCGAAAAAGTTTTTTTTTTCAAAAAGTGATAACGCAATTATATATAAATCGAGTACGCTCTATCGATTGGACGTAAAATCAACTTCCGGTTCCAATCGGAAATGGCATATTCAGACCGGAAGTGCATGAAAATCCATTTTTTTAAATAAAACATGCATACTTTTTTTTCAGATTCAGATTCTACGGTAAAAAATACGAAAATTTCATAAGAAGAATTTTTTGAAAAAAGTTGATATTTGACCTCTAATTGACGTCTGAAGTCTGTAATCCACCAGTTCGTACTCAAGCTGCGAACATGCACGTTTTAACAATAGAATAGGATAATGTGGCTCCTCTAAAAGGTTTTCGGGGTCGCTGAGTCCGAATCCAAGGTGAGTTTGATCTTATCAGGTCATTTTGAGGTCAATTCAAGGTCATTTAGTGGTAAAACAAAAAAAAAATATTAGAATTATCAAGAATGAAGTACTTTTAAAATTTTAGCCTTAATATTACAAAAATATGAATCTCGTCGTTTTTTCATTTATTCTTGTTATTATTAATCTATGTAATTTACATAGCATACTTTTATGAAATTAGGGGAAATGAAATTCCAAAACAAATTAGTTTAGCGAGATAAAAATCTTTATTCTCAAAACATAATAGATTTCGTTAGAATCACGGATAGAATAGAATAGAATCACGGATGCAATTCGGTCGCAGCAGGCAGCAGAAATTAGAAGAGCTGTTGATAATTTCCAAAGAAGAGTTCAAGCATGTATTTTTCAAGGCGGAGCGCATTTTGAACATTAAAGTTTTTGTCAAATCTTCACCGTCTATTTTCGCACAGTTATTTCAGCGTTATTCATAAAAAAATTTTATTTACAGAACAATAGAAGATAAAATCTAATTATGTTATAAAAATTTTCATTAAGTTAGGTTCTAATAAAACAAATTATCATTATTTATGTTATTATAAACAAATGTTGCTACTGCAACGAAATCTATTACGTTTTGAGAATAAAGATTTTTATCTCGCTAAACTAATTTGTTTTGGAATTTCATTTCCCCTAATTTCATAAAAGTAGGCTATGTAAATACATAGATTAATAATAACAAGAATAAATGAAAAAACGACGAGATTCATATTTTTGTAATATTAAGGCTAAAATTTTAAAAGTACTTCATTCTTGATAAATCTAATATTTTTTTTTGTTTTACCTCTAAATGACCTTGAATTGACGTCAAAATGACCTGATAAGTTCAAACTCACCTTGGATTCGGACTCAGCGACCCCGAAAACCTCTTAGAGGAGCCACATTATCCTATTCCATTGTTAAAACGTGCATATTCGCAGCTTGAGTACGAACTGGTGGATTACAGACTTCAGACGTCAATTAGAGGTCAAATATCAACTTTTTTCAAAAAATTATTCTTATGAAATTTTCGTATTTTTTACCGTAGAATCTGAATCTGAAAAAAAAGTATGCATGTTCCATTTAAAAAAATGGATTATCATGCACTTCCGGTCTGAATAGGCCATTTCCTGTTGGAACCGGAAGTTGATTTTACGTTCAATCGATAGAGCGTACTCGATTTATATATAATTGCGTTATCAATTTTTGAAAAAAAAAACTTTTTCGGCACACTTTGGGGGGTGGACGGGTGGTCTGAGACACCCTGTATATGCTGTGATAGATGTTTTAGAAACCCTTTATAACCAAAATCGAGATTATATAATTGTTCACCTTTTTTTTTATCTTCCTGTCTTCCTCTTTACTAAATTATTTATTTAGTAAATAATTACCTATCGATTTACTCGTCTACATAAAGATTGTGTGTAAACCTTTTTCCAGTTTACTATAGTTTTATACTGGTAATTTTAATTGTAATAGAAAAATGTAACTCTTAGACATTATTCATTTAAAGGAGGTTAAATAAACGTACCCCTCGAGCATCTCTAAAAAGTATAGCTGCATGAACTGGATCTAAGCATACATCTAATGCTCGGTGAGGTACAATGGGAGTACCAAGTGACGATCGTCTAACTGTCGGATCCAATGAGTTTCTTCTCAACGCACCTAAAATAAATATTATTAATAATAGTTTCAACTCAAAATATAGCCTTAATTGAAAGTTAGTATCACTGGGGTATAACTTTGCGTGCATAATATATCGAAAGTATTAATAAAAGATTTTAACAAATTATATTTTTTGTTAAGATAAATAAAAATAAAAATATCAAGGATTCATGACCAGACTTGTATTTGTTATAATATACATATGTGAATTCTGAGATATAAACGAACTAAGATGCGTATTTGTTTTTAGTCACGTCGCTGTAAATTTGCATGCGGTAATGTTCGACGAGATCACTTTCGCTGGTGCCGATATCTATACCGTTAGCGATACTTAATGAAGAGAGATAAATAAAAAGACAACTAGACTGAACTGGTTCATTCACAATGGGAGCGTTTGTCACAATTATTTTGGTACAGTATTACTTTAATTTAAAAATTCTGATATTCCATTATATCCATTAGTTAAATACATTGTTGTTCAACATCATTGATCAAGAATAACTTATTTATATCAGAAACTTCCTACGCATAGTTAATATAAAAAAGTATATTTTAAAAGGAAGGATATCTATAATATTGTAATAAAATAAATTCTATATTAGATCTGAAATTTTTGGACTTTTTAAATACTGTACGGTCTCGTAAATTAAAATTAATGAAATGTTTTAAGTACTTATCTTTTATATTTACATTTCTATTAAAATTGAAATTAGAAATTTTATTGAATACAATGTACGTTAGCTACTATGTGCTTATTGTAAAGAATTATGCACCTGCTAAATTTGCAAACAAACCTTACAATTGTAACAATCAAATAATCATATTACTTATTACTCGGTCTATATACGAAGGTCGTTTGAAAAGTCCGTGCAAAAATAAAAACTACTTAATTTTTTTTAATAAATCTTTTTTATTTTTCAACATAGTCTCCTTTTAGGCTTATACACTTTATCCTACGCTGCTCTAATTTGTTAATCCCTTCCAATTAATAGGATTTGTCCAAGTCTTTAAAATAGGCATTCGTTTCTGCAATCATCTCCTCGTTTGACTAAAATCTTTTTCCCGCCAGCCATTTTTTCATATTTGTGACAGGGCTGATAGCGATGCTCGCTAACCCTGTGTGCGGCACTCTCCTCGCACGGATGTAGCGGCCGAGCGTGGCTATGGTTGACATAGCATTCACGCGCTCGTGTCGTTGCAAGGCCTGGAGAGGGGAGAGCGCGACTGGCGGAGAACACGGTGCGAGAAGAAGCGAGAGCGCGAAGAGCGTGAGAGAGAGCGAGAGAGGAAGAAGAATAGGCGAGAACGCGGAAAGCGCGGCTCGCGCCGCGAGAATTATGAGAGCGGGAGAAATTGAGGACAGTTGGAGAGTGACCGCTACGCTAAAGAGGTCACGGCGCGAGAGAAGTCAGAGACGACGCGCCAGGAGAGAGGAACCCCAGGACGAGAAGTCTTCGTGTGGTAGATCTCCGGCTGCTGTTCGAGCAGCCCTTCAACGATCATCATAAGGCGATCGAGAAGCCGATCCCGGCCGCTAGCTGCCAACCAGCCGCCGCCGGTGATCCAGCGAGCCCCGCTGCCAGCCGGACTGCGATTTCGCCGTCGTCGGCTTTCCACCAGCGAGCCGCGGGAGGAGCCACCCGGTGGGTTTGTTCCCTCATTATTTTGCGGATCTCTCTCTCACGTACCAGCTCTCGCCCGGTATAACGCCGCGAATTGAGTTGTCGCGATTATTAGTTGAGCGAACCCGCTCCTAATCATTGTATATTTGTCGCGTATAATAGTTGAGCGATCACGCTCCTAATCGCCGTTTGTTGTCGCGTTTTGAGGATTGAGCGAGCGCGCTCACCATTTCGTTTGTAAGAAACCGTAGCTGTAACTTTTATTGGCGTAAATAAAAGGGATCGCCTCTTTGTACTTATTTCGATTCTGTCAGTTCACCTTCCCAGGTCTGCTCCTGTGGAAGTCAGCGCCGGCTTCCTTCACCGGAAAAGGACCCTTAATAACTCGCAGGGGGCATAGCAGTGGCGCACTTCGCTATGTTCCGAGGATAAATCCCCCCCCCCCTTTGCATGGCATCCCTTGTGTTCTTTCGGCGGGAAAATCTTTCGCATTGCTTTGTTTGACGGGAGGTGAAGGTGATCGCGAGTGCGGTTGGGAAAATCGCGTTTTCATTGTGTCAGAGGCAGTGCGGTATTTTGGTCGACTTGTGCGTTTTCGGCGAGATCGCTGAGTTGCGGGTAAGTACCGGTGAGACGCTGAGAGAGGCCAGAATTGTAGTTTGAAATTAAAATTTCTTTGTTACTATGTCGTCAACACGCTAGGCTCGAGTTACGCCAGAGTCCGAACGTTCCAAGAAGGGCAACAGCGAGAGTCGCTTTGTTTACATTGCGCGATTAGCGCTGGTAATTTGAAATATAGCCTGGAGTTCGGGGCGACGAGGCGAGCCTGGTGTTTTGGCTAATGTGCGTGATTGGTTTGTAATGTGTGTTGTGTGATTGAAACGTGTGATTGGTATCATCACTTCTGGCTGTTTGAATTTAAGTTTGTAGGGATTAAGCGATTAAGACTTTGTGTTGCGTGTTCGCACCAAAGTCATCGCTGTTAAGAGACTTAGCGCGCGCACGGATAACTGTTGCGAGTCGCAGAGCAATTCTTAGCGGGTCTGTTTGTTTACGCCGGACTAGGCGTGTAAGACGATGCCTCTGGCAAGGTCGCCGAAACGGCCGAAGCCAGGCGAGTCGCGCGCGCGACCGGAAACCTTTAGGCGACGAGTTATGAGAACGCCGGAGATAAAGGAACTATGGGAGCGCGTGCGCGAGACACGTTTAAGCGATCTGCTAGCATGGATGGCGGCCCAGAGTCTCGCGACGGAGAGGACAACAGCGACCGTGCAGGATAGGGCATTTCGCGTATTTTTATTTAGCGCGCGCCACGAATCGGAGCCCCCGGTAAAAGCAGAGGACTACGTAGCAGGTGAAATCCCGACTACCGTTGACGCGACGCTCGCGTCAGCGGCGCGGGATGGCGCGTTGTTGGAAGCTTGGGAGGCGGCGGTGCGCGCAGCGGTGATCGCGCGGCGGACGATGGACGAGCACTCACAACGCGGAGACGCGGAGCCGTCGGAAACGCGTATTCGCGTAACCGACGGTATCACTGCGAATGAGAAGCCGCTGGAAACAAATTTGAGGTCGGCGCTGAATCGGTCGGCACCGGTGGGCCGCGCGCGACCGGAGGGTCTCGCCAACGGACAAACCGAGGCGGCGCGGGTGCGCGGACAGCAGCGACCGACGAGCTTTCATGGGCAGGAGCCGTCGATATGGCGGCGCGCGGTTAGCTTAATTTGGCCAGTGCGAGAGACATTGCCGGCGCGCGAAGCGCGAAACATCGTGGGCCAGGGCGAGATGAATAACGCACTAGAGTATGAGGGGGCGCGCGGCCCAAAAGACACCAGTACTCCGGCGCGTGGAACGCTCAACGCGAGGCCCGTGGCGAGGCGCGAGTCTGCGCGGCTGACTGCCCGGGCGCGCGAGAATGAGCGCCCGGCACCGATGAGAAATGCCGCGATGAAAATGCGTCAGTACAAATACGAAGAGGAGGAGTCAGAATACTCAGAGTCCGACGAAGCGAGTTATGACTCAGCGCTCGAGGACGATGAGGCGTGGAAGTATGACTCCGATGACGATAGGTGCGTAGGAAGGCCAAAAGCTCGTTATATCGATGGCCGGCCGGCAGACGCGGTGTCAGCGTTGAAAAACTGGTCGGTGGTATTCACTAAAAAGGGAGGGCTGACGGCGGAACAATTCCTCCAGCGACTGCACGAAGTGCAAGCTTTTTATAGATTTCGCGACGCGGAGATGTTGTCGGCTTTGATGACCGCGTTCGTAAGCTCGGAAATGATGCTCTGGTGGGAGACAAATCGTCCGAGTTGGCGAACGCTGCGCAAATTCAAGGATGAGTTTCGACGACAGTTTTGCCCGCGACGCTCGCGCGAGGACGTATACGACGCGCTGCGCCGCCGTACTCAAGGCGAGGGTGAGCCGCTGGGCCAGTATCTTACGGCTTTTCTGTATATTGCGGGTAGGCTGGAGCCGGGACTCTCGGAGCGGCGACAGCTCGAGCTGATAAAAATTAATCTATATCCGACGCTGCGGAAGTTTATCAGGTCGAAGAAGGTTAAAACGTTGGCAGAGCTGCGTGCGTGGGGAGAGAAATGTGAACGTCGGCGCGACATTGATGATGTGTATCGGCCGCCTCCTACGCCGCAAGAATCATTGATGCCGGAAGTAGCGTACCGAGGAAATGCGGCGAACGAGAATGCGAAACCGGGTATCAGAAACGCGGGCCCTGCGGTAAAAGAGTCTGTCGCGTCTGTCCAGTCTACGAATGGGAAAGGTCAACGCGGCAGGACGGCAAGGCCGGCGTCGAAGTCTGGAAGCGACAACGGAGGCCCGAGCAAGGAAAGTCCGTCACAACAGGATCCGGCGGCTTCGCCAGACATGTTGCCGACAGATGTAGTGGCTGCGTTGTCGCGGCTGCTGCGGACGCACGGCGGGACGCCATCGGGAAGCGCAGCCCCGGCGGCGAGTAACGCAGCCGGCGGAGCAGCGTTCCAGGGCGTATGCTATAAATGCGGGGGGCGCGGACACCGTAAATCTGAGTGCGCGAGCCCGCAGGATGCGCGGATTCCGCAACAGGCCGCGGGTGGGCCAGCAACCGCTGAGGCAAGCGGTAGCGCGGGTCTTAACCAAGCTGCGTGACGCGGTGAGGATAAGGGCCCAGTGCGCTGCTATAAATGCCAGCCGCTTGGTCACTATGCCAACAAGTGTACGTTGGGGGCGCGAGCCTCGCGAAGGTGCCAAGGTTGCGGTTCGGATAGTGGAACCCTTGAAATATGCCCAGAATGCCGAGGATGGATCAGGGCAATGGGAAACTCCAACGCGGGCTCCGCGCGCCCAGCGGGCCCCGCGTAGTGTCGCATGATAGGGCACTTCATCCGG